TGCCATTTTTAACTATGTATATACACCCTTTTTGTATCAATAATATATATGTATATACAAATTATTTAGGGAGAGGGGTTTTACATAGGCTAAGCCTGTTCCCCAATCCCATTCAGTCAACCTGAATAAAAATATGGTTTAAAAAAAAAAATCTATTGAAAAAATATCTCCTCTATGTCGACGTTGGTGAAAACTATCTGTTCAAAAAGGTGTTGTAAACAAAATTCTAATGGGACTAGATACAGTTTCACCCAATTCTCCGAGACAGAGTAACATACAAATCTTATCAGGATAAAACAAATATTGGCCTACTCTTATTACGTCACTGAAGAAGATGATCTGCAACTTCTTATCATTATTCTTGATGTATTTGTTTTTAAAAGAAAGGGGACACTGGGTCAAAGCAACCGTTTCAGATATCAAGGTTAATCGCAATGGTGTCAAACAAAATGTCTGTGCAAGTATTTTTATCACGCGGAAACGCCTCAACATTAATTGCATTTGGGTTGACACTAATGTCGGAGACTACACCAACTTATTGTCTGCAGATAACAACCGGGTGTCCTCGGAGAACCCCGTACCTCTGGGCTCTTATATGTATCTTAGGCTTAGGTTATAATTTCTCATGTATCATTAGATGTTGTTCTGAGACATTTTTTTTGGGGGGGGGGGGCGAATGGTTAGCACGTGCGCGCTGTATCATAAGGTCTGTAATTGAGTCAACTACGCGCAAGCGAATTATTGAAATAAAATTGAACCATGTGTTAGCCCCGAAATGACCTAGTCTGTGTCGAGTGGACGTTAAACCTCTCTCTCTCTCCCTCTCCCTCTCTCTCTCTCTCTCTCGTACAATCGGCATTCCTCGATAATTTCCGATGTTTTTTACTGTATGCTTGTCCATAATGCAGGCCATTGAGATTTAGACTTAACAGTCGCGTGATGAAGTCCGCTTTTGAGTTTGCTTGAAATATGTTAGATATCGACTATCTATTAAGCATGTATTATGTAAGAGCTGACAGTTCTAGCTATACTAGTTTTAAAATTGATAATGAAAAAGGCATATATTGAAAATTTCAGTCAAATTTGCTACCGTCGTTACTATGATCAACAAAGTCCCGATTACCCATTTTTAAATTAAATTATGAAATGGCGACCATATTTCAATCACCACTAGCTGATATTCTAAAGGGTTGATTACGGGCTTGTCATGTGAATAAATGTTTAATTAATAATTTATATAACATTTGAAGCCAAAATAAGGACCTGCAATAGACAGATCTAGCTCTTACATAATGCATCTTTAAAGGAAAGCTAATAATATATGCATTTATTAGTAACAACTATATCTATAAACTAATTTAGTTCAGCAATCATGTCAATTTACGTATGTGGGTAGAGATAATCTTTATGGTTATTAGAATATTGTATGTGGGTGGTTTCCATCTTTGTTCATTAGTGGGGCCATACTCCTCGCAGTGTTTCGTTTGGTTAGATCTAATCCCACTCAAGCACTGCTATACTCAACGCAAATTTCTGTCCCAAATTATGACTGGTCAATAGTCCGATTAATAACCAATACCTAACTGCCTAACAATATCATTCGGGGTTTAAACAGAGCTCCAAATGCATTACACTCAAACAGTGCATAGCAGATTATTGCAGAAAAACTAATTGCGTGACAAACCAGGCAATCAAAACGGCTACCAAGTAAACGATACTGTTTGGAGACGAACAATACTTTCATCGTTTTTAATACCTTAAATCACTGTCCAAAGTTTTAGGGAAGTAATGTTGCTGAACTTAGTAGAGATTTAATTGAACGGGAAAGATAGACACACTCCCTCAAAAGCTCAAGTATCAGAGAGGGATTTCTCGGTCATTGCTTCGGGAATACGCTGTGGGCCATACCTTATTAAGGCTTATGGTTACCAATACTAACACAATTTTCAAAACCTATTATTCAGAACTGAAATCTTCCAATGAAATGTCTCCTACAGTACACAATTTCCCAACGATTTCGAATTTCTATGATAAGAAACACAAAATTGTTGATTATCGTATGTATGTATTGGCTGTATCTACAATGTAATTTATCTCTCTCATACTTTTCAATATATTTAAATTTGTATATTCATGGAAAATGGGTCTATTACTGTTGGGTTTATTATGTGTGTTCTTCAATCCACAGTCTATAAATAAATACTTTTGATCAAAAATAAAGTAAAATCTAGATCTAAATTAAATTTTAGTTTTAATTAGATTATGTTTGTTTTAGCATATATTTAGTAACACCTTGAATACTCACCTTTCGCTATTTATTTTTAGCTCCAAACATATTTCGAACTGATTTACCACTTACCGGTGTGTATTTCCTAGATAATTACAGAGTTTGTTTTCAAATGTAATATAAAGTGAATAAGGTTAAAGGCCCACCCACGTCCAATTTCACCCGGTACAAAAATAAAACTCGATGAAGCTTTTATAATATTGAGAAATCTAATGTAATAGAAACACACGTGAAGAATAATTATGACGTTAGATTCATGTTAATTTGTGTGTGTGTGTGAGAGAGAGAGAGAGAGAGAGAGAGAGAGAGAGACGGGGGTCATTTGAACGTTTGACCAAATCTAAGTACACGAATTCTATATTTGATTGGCAAAGCAGTACTATTGAAGGTTGTTCCCAACCTGGTTATGTGGTGCTTCATCTATCCATACAACAATAATATGCTTACCAAAAGGAGCTAACATAATAGTGGGGTAGCTTGTTGGGTAACTCTAGTAGATAAAATTAAGAGGGTGTACATTGGAAGTTCTGAGTTCTACTAAGACTGAATGTAGAAACGTAGCTAACGTTTGTGGATACCTCAAGTAGAGAAAGGTATCAGGATGTACATTGGGAGGTCTGAACTCTACGAAGAAAGGTACCAGGATGTACATTGGGAGGTCTGAACTCTACGAAGAAAGAGCGTAGAAATGTCGCCACTAAGAGTCTTCTGGTGTAGCCTGCAATGTACTAATAACATTTGTTCAACAAATACCATGAGGAGGATCAGATACGCTAACTCTTCCTTTTTCTGGAGGGCGGTGGACCGAATGGTTAAACGCGTGTGCGTTAGATCACAAGGTCTACCATTCAGTCAAGGAGTGTGGTTTCGAATCCCCGCTTGTATCTGTTCAATCCAGTGGGTTTTCTACGGGTCCTCCAGTTTCCTCCCATTTCCAAAGACCCCTACGCGAAATCAAATTATTGATATAAATTTTATTCGCAAATATGTATCAGGGGTGTCACCTTTAACTTCATCTGGAAGCTCCATGTGCGTTTGTTGACACGAACTCTGTTATGCACCTGTGGTCTAGATTGTTCCCAAATGTACTACGCTTTGATTTTCAGAATTAAGTAATAATAATATAACCCAGATACAGGTCAGGGTATTTAAGTACAAGAAGTTATAGACTAAACAATTTATGTCTCTATTAAAGTATGTGTAGGTGATAATAGGGAAAGGGACCGTTATGTTGTAAAATTATAACTTCCCGAATATAATTATATAATCCATAACAGTCATATATTAAAATCAAATGTTATTTTCGTTCCATTAATTTCTAACTTTATTTTGACACCCGCATATTAATGGAAGATGTTTTATGTAGGCCGGTTGGGGAGGTTCGGGAATTTCCGGCGTTGGCAATGGCCGGTTTATATAAATGAGTATTTTGGGGAATACTAACCCTAACTCTTTTTAGAAGATTGAACTTGGATCCTATTTAACTTATACTCCTTTTAAAAGGGTTAGGGTTAGTATTCACCAAAATACTCATTTATAAAGCGGCCGTTGTGAACTCCAGAAATTCCCGAACCTCCCAAACCGGCCTACAATTTGCTTCTCAACCTTATTAATGTCGCCATTCTTGATTACACAGCCAATCAAAGGTCTCGACAGCTTTATAAACGATTACGCTAAATTTTCTGTTTCACGGATTTTGATAGGTGGATTTATTTGGAGTAAGCCCCGTTTTTGGATTCAAAGGACACAATTCGATGGATGACAATTATTGCTGATAAGCGATGTTTCGATTAGGATCCTCTCGTCTTTGTAAGCCACGAGAAGCCTTGTCCAAAATGTCGTTCCATATTAAACAGTAATTTTATAGAATTGTGTCCTATGTAATTAAGTTACTAAATGTCATTGAAACAGGTCTGTTAACCTATTTCTGTCAAGCTACTTTTAAGTCCAGTAAACAAAAAATCTATTAACTTGCTTTTGATAAAAGATATTAATTCGTTCGTACAACAACAGCGATCCCGAGAGGCAGACAGCGTAATTAAAATGCCATAGAAGCCGTGGTCATTTTAACCTGCATCCTCTAACTTCCAGCATACGAAATGGGTGTGCAACACGTGAACGAAGTCTCAATTCTCCTTGGGTAACATCCCCGAGTGACTGCCTTCAACCTGGCTCAGATCTTGCTGAAACGCTTGCCCAAGCTACACGGTGTTCCATCCCTGTGTAATAGCCCACGACCCTCATTCTGACAACATTTTCCATCAGGACTGTAAGTGGCCCTCCGAATGCGAAATCAGAAAGAAATTTCTAAACGTTTCGTCATCTATTGACAAAGCGGATGTGGTGGTCACAGAAAATGCAATGTTAACGGATAGGACAATAAATAAGCCACAGTTTCATAAACGTATTGAATGAATCCCCTCGAAATGGTTTAGTACAGGCTATACTGGATTTGAATATTTTTGTTATGTAGTTACCCCGCATTGTCTTTTATATAACGGACTGTTAAAAAATGACAACTGTCTGTCGTTTGGATGTGATGTGCAATGAAATCTACATAAACGGTGTCTGGAGTGGTCAACTTGAAATGTTAACGATCTTTTATACAATCGAATTTATTGTCATTTTATGGCTATGTATAGCTTGATGCCTTGTGTCTTTCAGATAGATAAAACTTCAAGCTTTAAATGTATATATATTTTATTCATTATAGGTGACACGCCATGACTCGCCAGTCAGAGATGATCGTTATTGCCCTCGTCGCCATTTTCCACCATTTACCGGAAGTACGAACACAGCTTAGCAACGAAGGATGTCCCGCCAATATCACGGTTAGCAACGTGACAGATGGGTAAGTTTGATTTAATCGCGAACAAAGAATCGAATAAAACCTTTAATTGAAATGTGATTGTGGCGTAATGAATATAGATAGTGGCATTAGAAAATAATGGAAGGGGTGACGTGTTATTAATTGTATTGGATAACAGAAATAGGTTCATCAGCAATTTATGATCGGGCCAATATCTCAGTGTGTTGAAAAGATTAATCACCGATCCGAAAGATCTTTAGATAGTAGGTTTAAATGTCTATCACCCTCTTAGTAGGGGAATAAAAAATGACACTACCGTTGGCACCAGTTCTATACCATGGTTTATTGTGTAGAATGGCTAATTCTCACAATTTAGTTATGCAGTTTTTTACTTACATCCTTGCTCTTAAAAATAGTATTGGTCATCCCTTAGTTCAGAAAATACAGTACAAATGTTTGTTAGGTTCGTGAACTCAAAACAAGAGAGATTGTATTAGGTGTTTCAGGAAGAGTAAGAATACCTTGCTTCCTGAAATACTGGAGAACAATTATGGTCTATCCGTTAGTGCTGGCTCACTGCCCAGAAGGTCTCGGTTACCCCAGCCTGGTTTCCCGTTGTCAGTGCTCAAAGACAGGCTCTGGCAAGGAACAGAGCCTAGTTTGCATGGGATGAAGGCCGAGGTTCCGGATATATCTTTGGCGCTCACGTAAAATAACCCATGTCAGAATTCGCCGCAGAGTTGGTGCAAATGTCCCCAATCTGATTAAAACACAGATCCTATTTCGTTTTGTTTCCTATAGTTCAAAATTTCGTTTTACTTGCCCTTACTACACTAAGAATCTGGAAGAGTTGTCATATAACCTGTGTTCTGGGTGATGTGAGGGATTAGCCAATGAAACGGTCCGTTACGGCGTGAGGTGTACAGAACTGTGCGTAATCGACAAGAAACATCAACGCTGATTGGTTAATCAAATGTCTGGAATCATAGGGTCAAAAGCCGCTTAAATGACCTTTGACTCGACCTTCCACTATCTTCATGTAGTGTAGGCAATCGAAAGTATAAAAAAAGAAATGAAATATAGATCTGTATTTTAATCAGATTGAAATGTCCCCCATAGCACACTGGGTGGTTTTAAACCGTCTTCATTCGTCAGGTTGGGTCATGGAAATAGGACTTTAAACCCTTTCATTTTCTTTAGAGTTATTTAGACCACAGAATAATTAGTACTGAGTATCTAATTCCAAACCAACACAGACCATTACAAAAATATGACAAAAGACGAACAAAATCTTTTAACATACATACAAAACAGGTAGCAAACCATTATTCAGAAAAAAAACACGTTTATAATATTAAGGTTCCTTCAAATAAGAAAACCATGGTATCTTGTAATCGAATCTTACCCACAATAAACTAAACCAGGTGAACAATGCGTAACAATATACTATTATTAAAAACGACACGTTTTTAGCATTAAATAAATGGTCATTTTTATATTATAGGTTCCTTCAAATAAGAAAACCATGGAAATATTGTAATCTTACCCGAAAATAACTAACGCATCAAATTATGACACTGGAGCAATATATGGATAATACAAATATCATTTGTCAGTTACCATAACCCATTAGTCCACTACAGAAACCATTCCTATTGCAGACTTATTCCTACTGAAGATCTATTGGTCTTGATAGTCAAGTACACACACACACCAAATCCTACTTATAACTACGATATCATAGTAGTGAAACGATTGAATCGATTCATTGCTATTAGTATTAGTAAATATAAATGTTTGGGTTTTCCTTGTCAGTAGTGACTTCGTAAGGAACCGTGTTGGGATGAGACAAAAAAAAAAAACGAGCTCCCGTTTACACGCTTGGCAGTTTGAATTGCGGCTTTCAGGGCAAACTTCCCCTATTGGCACTAGCCCACTGCTTTACGTATGCCCGTTTTCATTAGCCCGATCGGTGGAGAAAATTGGTACGTTAAACTTAAACCCCATTTCATTTCATGTTTTCAATGGGATTTTCTTCTATGACTCAAGCAAATTTGATGTGGGGGGGGGGGGGGGATTCTAAAGAGTTAATCAAATCTGACGCAGTCAATGAAATATTTTTATCCATTTAAAGTAACGCCTGGAGTCTACAAGTTTTCTGAAATAAATAACAACGAATTTCTTCTCTTCACCATTTGCAATAGAATGTGGAGAAAATATTAACATCAATTTACAGGACATAAGCATTAAACTAAATTTTATCAGTCCCACGTGTCACACTACAATCAAAACAAAAAGTTGCAATTAGAAGATTTCCTTCAATACATAGTGATAATATCACCAGAATCTTTACGGTGGTCATTTGACAAATTATTATACTTGGATCATGCTAATCTAGAATTATCACTATACCACTGAGTTTCTTTCACCTAGTCAGTGGTGCAGGACTGTGGTCCTGGCAAGGACATTTGTGTAGTCGTTCCGATGGGACGAAACCCCAAGGTCCCGTGTATACATTGGCGTGCACGTAAACGATCCCTTGGCGGTTGTAATTCGGTGTAAGGGTAGTCCATGGTGCCGCTGCACGGGCAAAATTTCCTTCATAGCATGGCGTATGCCTGTCTTCGTTAGCCAAAGTGGAGCAGAACATAGGACGTTAAACCACATTTCATTTCATTTATTAGACCACTGCACTTGGTAATTCAAGGTTTAAATTTATTGCCCTGGACTGTTTTTTTTTTTTATTTCAGAGGGAGATTGGGTGGTCGATAGGTCTAATAGTTTTGTTTCATTACCCTGGTGGTATGTTTCCGGGTTCTTCGGTTTCCGCCGATTGTTAAAGACGAACCATATGTCAGTTCGAAAATGAGCTGGTTTTCCTTGAGTGGATGTTAATTTCCATGTTGTCTCTCTTTACAATTTCAGGCGTGTCTTCCCAGTGTTTGAAAAACACGAAACAGCGGCTTTAATTCTGGTAGGCTTTGGAGGATTTTCGGTGCTACTGGCATTGCTCTACAATGCGATACGTAAGCATGTCTTCAAGGATGTCAACAGTTTGGACACCACCTTCGATGCTGGCGGAAAGGTCAGCATGAGTTTAACGGCTGTTACAGTGGCATCGCAACTCATGTGGCCAGGAGATTTACTGCAGTGTTCAACAGTTGCTTCCCAGGTAATTTACAGTTACTCTTCACTTAAGAGTGTAGACACATACGATAATGCAATCATTATGCCACAATATAACTTTCTTGAAAAGTAAATAAACAATTGCAGAGGTTTACAGGTATAGGGATATTTTGATCTTTGTAAAATGGCTATCTTATTTTAAATTTGTTACTTCATGAAACTATGAAATAATGAAACATAGTATAGTGAGCTTAAAGATGAATACTCCTGGTTGCGGTTGCATTGGTGGTGGTGGTGTGTGTGTGTGTGGTGTGTGTGTGTGTGTGTGGGGGGGGGGGGGTTGTTGGCGGGCGGACGATGCTGGAGACGAGTCGATATATCCTCTTTATTGATCCCGTTTAGAGCACCTGAAACAAAATTGTTTTAACACGAATTGTTTTATAATACTGCATATTGAATATTATTTTCCAGTACGGTGTAGCTGGACCTTTCTGGTATTCTGTGGGCGCCATATTTAACATGATCCTGTTTCCAGTTCTCTCTGTTCATTTTAAAACTCGATCTCCAGGAGCGAAGACTTACCTCCAGGTACCATAAAGCTAATATCATACATTCAATTATTATGGTTCTTCTGGAAATAAGCCATACATTTAAAACAATTGGCACCTATATCATATGATCAAAGCTATCTAATTCTGTGTAAAAGTCTAAAACTTTATTGGAATGACACATCAGACTTGATTGACACCGGTAGCTTTTGTTGTTAAATGTAACCTGTCGTACTGAACTAAATTGATTGGGACTATTGTTATTTCGTTTCGCAATGGGGTGAACGCTACGGTTAGTCTAATTTCCAACCCACAAACTAAAAACAGAGTTTCGGCCATTTTGTCTCTTCAAAACAGTGTTTGCGGTTTGTGGTTCGTTTTTCATTTCGGTAGAGTTGGTGACATGCGACCTATTTATTGGCTATATATCAATACCGGCTTTATCTCAGCAATTTGACACATATATGCAAGCAAGTCAACATTTTCATTCTGTACAATATTCATCTTCCCTCTTACTTTCAGATAATTAATGCAAGATTTGGACCTTGTGCTCACATCATCTTCTGTTGCTTCGCCTTACTGACTAACGTCATTGTCATGACGTGTCTGATTGTTGGTGGGAAGGCCACCATTCAGTCCATGACGAACGAAGCATCGGACGAATTCTGCATCTTTTTAATGGCCACTCTATTCGGCTGTTATTCATTTGTTGGTGGTTTGGGGACAACGTTTTACGTTTCCTATTTCAACGCCGTACTGATCTTTGGATGTTTGGTGATTCTAACAGTCAAAGTCTTCTACACTGATAACGATACTGATAGTTTAGTGGGTGGAATAGACAAGGTTTATGAAAGCATCTACTGTATGCAGGGTCCAGAAGAAAACGAGGAGCGGAGCTACCTTACGTTTTGGTCAGAGGGGTCACTCATGTGGGGAATTCTTGGTATATTCGCCACGTCTTCGTTGACGTTTTGTGATCAAGCTTCCTGGCAGAGTCGGATCGCTGCTAAACCAACACAGGGTGTTATGGGTTTTCTAGCAGCTACCTATATGTGGTTCGCCATCCCTACATCAATTGGAACCAGCAGTGGATTAGCTTATTTGGCCCTTAGTTCTAATAATAGTGCAGCTACACTTCCTATGGACGATGTCCATGCAGGTATGTTGATCTGAAATATATTTCTAATATTTGTTCCAATGTTAAACCTGATTTACACGCATAGTCCTTCTACTCCAAGTTGATTTTCAGAAAAGACTATGAAACTTATAAACCGAAGTTAAAGTATTTTACTTCCAGTAAATAGAAGATGGTTCTCGGCAATGACCCGGAGCTTGTTCTGGATGTACTGTAGAACAGCCAGCTCGCAATTCCCAGACTATAATTCCATGCTTTTACAACATGTTTGTATGCACTTCAGATTCGTTTCCAATCCACACTGTTTGCAAGTACGAGTACATGCTTTGCGGGAAAATGTTCTAGACATTTGTTGTATTTGTGGTTTCAATAGATAACCAATTATATGCAAGCTCCACTGAATATCTCCTTTTAATTAGATTCTTCATAGTTCGTTTCCTTGTTCATTATTAAATATATTAATCATATTTAAAATACAGATGTGACGTCACCCTTTGATGTTGGCGTACCATTATTTCAAATAATCGTACGGGCAACTTGCCAATAGTACTTTATTCAAACCAGTGAGATATTGGACTAATGTGACGTAAAAGCTCGTGCTGAGTGTCAGTATTTTAAGATGTTTAATGGTCTCGAGCTTACGACATTGCGTAATATATTGTAAAAACATTCGGGCCTACTGCCCTCATGTTGTTACAATATATTACTTAATGTCTCGCTCTCGACCATTAAACAATACATATTGATCGTTTCAAAATTACCAAAACACGCGGAAATCCATTGCGATTTAAATCTCTGGTATAGTGTTAAAATAAAATATGATTTGAATATGACGGCGTTGGCTTTGATTATTGCCTCAGTGGACCGTGCGACCACAGAAAAGTTGTTTTGGACCAGAAATGAACCCCATCCACCTCTCTTTGACGTTGGTAATCTACCAGTGTGAGCAATGTTTAAAATCAGAGTTTTCTGTTGTTTAATAGGGTTGGTAACACCATTTATAGCCGAACAAGTTTTAGGATCAACTGGAGGAGCCATGATTCTCACCATGTTAACAATGGCTCTCATGTCAACAGGATCAGGAGAAGTAATGGCTGTATCATCTATAATAGTTTATGATATCTATCAATCGCACATCAAACCCTTCAGGTAAGAGAATAATCCTTTCTTTACTTACATTTCTAATTTGCTTCTCCCAAACGGGAACATTATCCTTGACCATGCTAGACTAGGAGTCTTGTGGTTGTGCCGCGCTCCTAGTTCTCATTGGCCTATATGTTGAGAATCTGTCAAGAAAGGTTACTTAGCTCTCAAGTAATGTATCTTTGAAAATTATACACATCTTTTATATTCATGCGAGGCAGAACCTTTTTAATTTTCAAGAATTTATGAAAATTACTTGCAGAGTTATGGCTCTTGACTACATTGAAAACAAATCTTGCGAACCCTCTAGATTATGCACATTGTTTATGTTAGTGAGATGACGAGGTATATTAATTTTCAATGACTTTCTATAAAGCTCTTGTTATCAATATTCGGGCGATTAGAAACCAATCTACTACAGAATCACAATTCTGCAACCTCTACGGACGTATGATTCGTTACCTTGTAGCTTATCTTTTAAGATTTTGCAGTAAAAACTATGTCATGTATTTTTATTATTTTTTTTGATTTTAAAAGGCGCACCAGAGGACCGGGGCAATGTATATTATGTGGAATGCAAAAAGCTTCCTTGGTCAATGGTGCAACATCTGATGGTATTAAATTTTGTTCCTGTGCTTCAGCTAGTGACTGCGAGGTTTGTAAGAAAGATGTAGAAGCCAAATGCACGGAAGGCGTAGATAACCAATCCAATACGTGCCCCACTCATGGTAATATAAATTTGTGGTGTAGTTCTGTCCATTTTGTGGTATTCTGTTTGCTTTGTCTGGTTTTGTTCTTTAAATATCTTTTTGTTTAATTTAATCTGGAGTATCAGTGTCTGTTCATGTTTTCACAAAAGAGATGAACATTTTACAGTTTTCAGTATATGCGTGGATGGACCATTAACAAACAATTTGCAATATTGTTGATAGTTGTATGAACAGAAAAATCAGCGACAAAAATACATGTACAGCTTGTCAAATTAAATAGCCTAAGCTTGCCATGTCCCAGTAATTAATTTAATGGTAGCAGGCAGTTTGTGGTTATTCAAATTAAAGATTCCCGAAGGAATAAACGGTTTAGATTTCAGGCATAAAATGCGCCTGTAAATCGGTACGAGACTATGAAAATTGTTTTTGGTCAACCAGTTATACAAATTTATTATGTTCGTGTGCACTATGTAATTTAAACAATGTTGATATGTAATTATGGATACATAAATTTTTAAACCAGGGGTCACTGATTCTGTTGATGCCACAGCAGTGTCGGCTTTTAGATCCAGATCCAAATTATCTGCTCGAACACATAAAACTAGCTATATAAACTAATTGTACAGAGGTTAGTGTTTTAAACGTCTGGCTGGTGTCAAATTATGGGTTCAGTAAATGGGTATAACTCCTTTCCAGACCATTAAATGTAATTTCCATGATCCATAACCTTGTCGACTGCCGTGTAATCAAACTGCCTTGTAGATGCGTGGTGGTGGGTGGGGTCGAATCCACTGAGTAATTTGGCGTGGTTTAAATCGCCTGCTCAACCTCGCAGGTTTTCTTCCGTTCCTCATGTTTCTTACCAAAGCTAAAGACTCTACGCGCAAGCAAAATATTGGAATGAATTCTGGAATCACCTATTTTGCTTCGATTGGACGTACGTCCCTCAACACCCCCCCCCCCCTCTCTATCTCTCTCTCTCTCTCTCTCTCTCCTCTTGGTAAGCATATATTACTATCGTATGGATAGATGAAGTACCACATAACTAGGTTTCGAACAATCTTCAATAGTACTTATAGAATTTGTGTATTTAGATTTGGTCAAACGTCCAAATGCCCCCCACCCCCACCCCCTCTCTCTCTCTCTCTCTCTCTCTCTCTCTCTCTTTCTCATGTTCTGAGGTGAGTTTTTCTCATGCTGACGATTCAGCCCCATCAACAACAATCACCATGGTCATCGTGACGATCATTATTTTATTAGTATGCTAATTAAGAAATATGGATTTTATTTACAGGTGGATACAGGACATACCAAGACAATCTAATTCGCTTTAAGAGTTGGTGTATTCTGTGGGTGACTATTGGCATAGTGCCCCTCGGGATGATGGTCTGTTCTTCTGGAATTGACCTTAATTGGATGATGCTGGTGGGATTTATTGTGACCATACCTTGTTTCCCTGGAGCAGTACTTAGCATCATATGGGTTAAAACCTCAACAATTGGAATAATTGCAGGTAATTTGCATGATTTCTGTGCAGACAAGCATCCATATTCATACCAGTGTAGCGTGGCACATTGGGACGACGTTAATCATTAACAAATTCCGTAACTTCATTTGGTGACCTCATAATCTAGACGAAGGGAATTTCTTTGGACTTAAGAAAAGTCTTTAGTAACAAGCTGATCGTTATTTAGTAGTAGAATTTAAAATAATTTTCTCTCGTTTTATTTTTTACACCTGGAATTGTCTCCCATATTGTCTGGATGGAATGCTCTACCCTATATTTAGTGAAATTTAAAATAATTTTCTTTGGTTCTAGTTTGACACATATCCAATATCAATGCAAATGTAATAGAACTTTATACGTCTTCAAATACGTTCAAAAATCAGCCTTGTTGGCGTTAGACTTCGGGTTAATTCTAAGGGGCGTTGACGGTCATGAATTTAGTAGGGCGTGGTTGTAAGATTTAGGCTAAAAATTTGACACATTGTTCAATGATCTTTCAGTAATTTTTATTTTCAAGGATTTTTAATTTGACTTTGAGATATTTGATTAAAATTTGTGTTTAGTGAATTGTGGCCCTTTTTTGACTAAAAATCAATGAAACTTCGGTGTTAGCGTTCCTACTGAATTATGGTTACTTGTTGACTTACAATCAACGACAATTCTGTTTTCCTTAAATTTCTTTAATTTGTTAGCTTAACATTTGAGGCATTTGGTTGAAATTTTGTATACATTATTTTACATACCAATTCAGTTTGGATTCAGTTTTCCAGAATTTATTCCATCTATAACTATACGTATTTGGATTATATATTCAAAGAAATGTATTCTCGCAATATCAACCTCTTATAAATGCATGCATGTATTGTAAAAGTTTTAGAGGTCGGTGAGGACATTATATGGCTTCAACTATGTTCTCCGAATGCTTCTTCAAATCTGTAATCATTTACTTTTGTACATAACAAATTTCTTCTCATTCTCTGGTGTGTACACGTCACTAAATTTTTCTCATTCTCTGATGTATACACGTCACCACATTTTTCTCATTCTCTGGTGTGTACACGTCATAAAATTTGTATTCATTCTCTGTTGTGTACACGTCATCAAATTTGTATTCATTCTCTGATGCATTTCTTATATGTTGTAGGTAGCTTAACTGGACTGTTTGCTGGAGTGTCTGTATTACTGGGCATGGCATCAAGACATGAAGGCGGATTAAACAACTTCATGGAGAATACATCCAAATATTTTACAGTTTTGTCAGGATCTAGTACCAGTTTCAATTGCAGCCTGATTGTCACGGTGTTAGTCTCACTTTTGACCCACAAGATCAAAACCCCAACAGACGAGCTGATTGAGTGGCAGAAGATGAGAGACATTGACAACCCACTAAGTCCCTGGATGGAAAAGTACCGCGAAGAGTTTCCCTCACTTAAGCATGGTGAGCAGCCGACATTCTCCCAGTTAGATGCTGTATTTAAAACGGCCAAGAGGACGGCGTATGTTGGAGGAGCCGTTAGTTTGGTACTCTTCACCATTTTAATACCAAGTATTATGACGAGTCTTCATGTTTTATCAGCAATGCAATTCCGTATTTGGGTGATGACGTGTCAGCTTTGGGCTATATTCATGGCAGTCATAGTCATAGTTGTGGTTCCTATAGAAGAACTGACAATCATATTCCGCGAAAGAATGCGGCAAAAGACGGGTGGTTCCGGCACTAAACTCAATGGTGAGAATACTATAGAAATGCCGGGATATTCTCAGAAATGTGACCAAGAGCCCCAAATGCTCTGAATGTAAATCTTCGAGTTTTGAATTGCATAGTTCCAACATGGACGTCATTTTATGAGGGTGAAAAACATTGAATGATTTGGTCTGTGTTTTGTAAATATGCCGTTGTGTGGCGTTAGCGGTTTGATTGCATCTGTAATTACAAAAATCTTCAATAACTGGAAGACACAAACCAATATTCTTACAAATGGAAATAACACAATTTAACTGTATATCTCGACATCAAGACAAACAATAGGCATTGTCTTATTGTAGACACAATGCGGCCATTCAGTCGCATCATTCTGTAATGCGGACGTTCTCTACAAAAGAAAAATTCCCGTTAAAGTTTCCTTATCGAAGGATGACTGTTTTTCCAATTTACCAACGGAAATTATCATTGATAGTCCTACGTTTCCACAAAGATGCATTGTCGAAATGGACCATGTACTGGAAATAAAAGAGTTTGTTGACCTTTGAACTTTGAACTATGGATTTGTGGTGTGATCATTACTTATTATTGCGTAACTAGACAGAACCATGTGTGGTAATGACAAATTAGTGCGTTTGTTTTTGGTGCCTGTTTAGTAAATCGTTTGTAAACAATGTGTTTGTTTTGCATGAATTGTTAATTGGGATACCTCTTAATATAATATATGAAAAACATTTAATATGCACTTACTTAACGTAGGACAATATTATGTATATGTAGCAATAGATTAAATAATAATTGTGACAGGTGTTCGTTCGTACTCGCGGTTAACCAGTTAATTGTTGTGCGTCCTCTAATTGTCAGATCACTTACTTCCTATCATGGCGGAGTTGCTGGATTCACTGATGAAAAGGGTTGTAGTAATTGAAAGCAATTACTGAATTTTGATCGTGGCCACGGTTCTACAATGATTTACTTTCTAATTGTAGAAGTATTTTGCTTGAAAACGACAAGAGAATCGCTGGAGAAACATAGCTCCGATTAATAGTCGTTAATTGTATTTCATACAACGGTTACATTATTTCGTCTGGCTCAGTGACAGAAATAATAGCCGATTTCCATTGAATGATAGTGTAGCATCACACTGGACAATCTACCTCGTTAATAAAGAGATAGAAGCCAATGTTGTACACGGGTAGTCGGTGCGTTGAGTGCATTGAGTTCATAATAACCTAAATTTGTATTTGATAAAATTAACGTCATTTTACAGCGCGTTATTTCGAAGGCGCTGACTTTTAAAGAATGTGGCCATTAGTGTTTTACAGTATAGGCTAACCGATTGTTAGACGATAAATTAGAAGCCGTAAGGCGCTGACTTTTAAAGAATGTGGCCATTAGTGTTTTACAGTATAGGCTAACCGATTGTTAGACGATAAATTAGAAGCCGTAAGTGCAATATGCGCGTATTTACTGTAATGTTTAATAGCCTTTAGATATTTAGTAATAGAATTTGTAATGCATTTAAACTACTATTGAGAATTTACGTGACGTGTGCCGTGCACGACGAAGGCTGTGTTTAATTATGGGAAGTTTAAACATACGTACACATTTTTGTTCTACTTTTGGATTTTTATTGTTCGACCGATCAGGGTTTACAAAACGGCTAATCGGTTTAGAACACAATATAAATATATGTATAACTATATATTAAATTGCTTAAATAGCTATAGTGCAATATTATATACTATGTATACATTGTAAAGGTTGATATAGTAAATGTTTTGTGTTATTTAAAGGAAATTTTCTATTAAAAAAAAAGGAATTCTCATTTTCATACATGTTTTTACGATACGTTCCGGTTATTTTTCCTAATTTTATAATTGATTTGTACATCATATTCTTAAATTCATATTTTTAAATTCATATTTGAAAATTGCACGTGTTGTTCTCTGGGGTATAATGTCTCAAAGATGCATTATGTAAGATTTAGATGAAGACCTGACCGTTCTGAATACATTTTGTGATGGATAATTTAACGTAAATGTGGATAATCGAGACATTGTTAATTATAGAACCAACGTTAGTAATGCTGATAGAGGCTAGCCGAAAATTAAATTGTTAATATCTTGGTTCAGAGTGAAGCAATTTGGCTGGAATTTTCAGCATTTTCTGTTTTCATTATCTATTTCTTTAACTATTATAGCGAGAACTGTCAGCTCGTTATCTAATCTAACCTATTGCCCATTCGAGTGGCATTACCGTGATAATAAACGAAATCTTGATTGTCAGTCATTTTATTGAGTGACGTCCATTTTAACGTTAAATGATTATATGGCGCGGGTGGTCTCATCCATTCAATATCCCATCCATCCGATAGCCTAGAGAGTTGATTATGGACTTGACATGTGAATAAGTGTCTAAATAATAATTTATATAACATTTTAAGCCAGAAAAAGACATAAAATGGGGAGATTTAGCTCTTGTATAATACATCGTTAATGAGTGAAGTGACGCACGTGTAGTAATTAGAGAATAGCCGAAATCTGGAAATCTTTTCAGTAAACTCAGCTTATTGGGGATTTTATTTTCAAATTATTAGATCTGTATTTCGTTCAGCTATTAATCCTACGCCAATCTGCACGACATGTATATGTACTTTATCTTTGCGCTGTTCTGTTTTAAGCCTGGCTTAATCCATTATGATTGGTTTAACAAATGACTCTTTTTCCAAGTCAAATCGAATCTCCTTTGGCTATACGAATGGTCAGGTCAGGTCAGGTCAAATAAACACACAAACTTCTTAAGGGTGTTACAAAGGATGTAAAAACGGAAAAGAAACGAAATGGCGGAAACAAAATTGGTTAGAACATAAAAATGGAAAAGAAACGAAATAACGGCATAATTTGTAAATTGCCTAGAGAATGTTAACAGCTTAAGAGAATGAAGAGAAGGAGTATTTTTATGTTATGTAATAGATATTATCATACTGTTCCTGTTTGTTAGAATATAGCCAAAGATTGGTTATTGAATAATAAAAATTCTTTTAGCCTGCAGGTTGTTTTTGTTTTGTGCTGTTGAATTTTCATATTAACCGACTTTAAAATATGACCCGAATTTTCCATATTATAATAAAACCTTTGTTTCTATCGCATGCGTATTACATAATACAAGAGGGGGTAAATAAAGGGAAAATTAAATAAAATGGTGTTTAACGTCCTACTGTTTTGCACCAACCGAGATTATGACAACGGACATACTATTCACTCTGTTATAACAATGGTGGGGCTCGGTTTTTCTCGTCCCATCCAAACGACTATTTTCTGTTTGTTCTACTTTTTTTTGCACCAACCGGGCTAATGACAACGGGGCGCTTATTATACAATGCGTTATAACAATGGTGGGACTTGGTTTTTATCGCCCCATCCGAACGACTATTTTCAGTTGGTTCTCCGCTCCACCCCCTGATCCATAAATTCCTGGATCGGCGTTTTTAAATGGTGTATCAACCGCATCTTTAAAGGACATAGTTTGAAATAAAATGGAATGGAATGGAGTTTAACGTCCTATTGTTCTGCTCCGACTGCGCTAATGAAGACGGGCGTACGCCATACAGTGCGCTATAAAAGTATGAGGGATATTTTGTCCGGACAGCGGCTCTACGGCGTACTCATTTAAACTGCTTAGGGATCTTTTACATGCATGCCAATGTTTACACGTGACTTCGGTTTTTCGTCCCACCCATATAATATACGTTGCCCCTCATACGCCATGCAGTTAGCTATGAGGGAAATCCTCCCCAGACAGTGGTGTTATTTCGAATTCCAACTTTTAAGGGTTCTTTTACGTGCACGCCAATGCGTACACGGGTCCTCGGTTTGTCGGCCCATCCGACACTATACGTCGTCCCTTGCCAGGCCCTCTGTCCTGCACTACTGACAAGGAGAAACCATACCGGAATATCCCGATGAACTTTCTCGGCCAATACCGGGATCCAACACCGGACTTTTAGGTTAGTGAGCCAACGTCTAACTCACTGGGTCAAAGTGGCTTCCCGGGGAATAATTTACAATTTAATAAGATATCTTTTTATTATTTTCATTTTTAGAATGATCATTATCTTTGAACATCGGATATGTCTCTTATCTACAACACTAGGGGTCCAGTTGCGCTTCAGACAGATTTGGTTGCAATTTTTTAATAAAGGATTTTTGTACAATTATAGAAACCTTTTAAGATAGTATATAGCTATTAACAGGAAATCTTCAGAATGTGGGATCCATTGTTGAAAGGTCTCATTTCGTTTATCTTTAATTAAAAGACACAGTGGAGTAGTCTATTATAGTATCGTTGAAGTCATCTAAAAGTTCTGATTATTCTGGCTTCTATTTGCCCTATTTTTTTTTGTTCATATACACTCCATAAACAAGCATTTTGTGGTCCATTTCCAAAGAACTTCAATAAATATTGTATATCCATGGTGACAGTAGCACCGACTTGCACTGTAGTTTGTTAAAGGGGCACTCACGCTTGCACTGTAGTTTGTTAAAGGGACACTCGCGCTAATTGTTGATTTGACTTTGCAGAAGCAGATGAATAAGGAAATTTCATATTTCAAGTTCTGAAATGTGTTCTCGTATTCCAAGGAACCCGATTGATTAAAAGGCTAATGAAGACGTTCGTTAAAAACGTTGATTACAGAGAAATAAGACCTAAAGGGTATCGACTATATATTTTACAATTAAAAAAAATGAAAAAAGAAATATTCCCATGACGTGGATGATTAAGATGCATTATGCAAGCTTTAGATAAAGAGTTGATCGTCCTTACTATAATAGTTCAAAAATAGATAACAAAAAATAATTATATTAAATATTTCTGTCAAATTACTTTATTCTAAGTAAAATTTTGAAAATTTGAAGTTTTGACAAGATGTAGCGTAAATAATCTCGATTGTCAAGTATATACCATTACTACGATAATAAACAAGATCTCGATTATCCATTTTAACGTTAAATCATAATATGGCACGGTTGTTCTAATCCATTCAATATAAAGGCCATTAGCTCTTGTATTATGCATCTTCAAAGAATTGAAGTCAGACATTTATGCGCTGTCAAATATAATCTAGACTAAATACGTGAACGTTGAGCGAATGAAATAAAATGTAATAGGGTTTAACGTCCTACTGTTCTGCTCCGAACTAGGCTAACGGAGACGGACATACGCCATACTGTGTTAGAGGGACATTTTGCCCGGGCAGCGGCACTACGGCCTACTCTTATATCGAATTCCAACTGTCAAGGGATCTTTTACGAGCACGACAATGTAACAAAAATCAAGCTCGTCAAACCATGGGACACAATTACAAAACATTGCCCCCTGGGTAAGTTGTCTGTGAGAAATAAGGTTTAACGTCCACTCAAGTGATTCATTTCGGGGGTAACACAATATATATTTTAATTAGGCGACCCTAATCCGTGTAGACGTAACGAACAAGTTTTTGTTCCGAATCCATCACTAGAGTTGATAACAGATCTATGGAGCAGCTATTACTAATACGTGTTTGTAATACAGTTATCATCTTTATCATCATCAGCAGAAGCATTATCAGCATAATCAGCATTATCAGCATTATCAATTAGCATTATTATCAATAAATAATAACAGCAGTACAAAAAAAGTTACAACGTTACCTCGTTCAATAACAGTAAGATGATATTTTCTGTTGTTTTGACATAGCTATATAACGGTGAAGATTGTTTAATCGACTGTTAACATTGAAAACACAATACAAATATTGCCCAGGCAACCGTTCAGTTACACTCTTAGTGCATTTTTACTATATTATTAACACTGCTCCTGGTCAATCGACTTTTGATAAAGACAAAAATAATTTCTTTCCCCGCTCAGGATGCGGATAATCTGCAATTAAGGCTCCTTTAAAGTAAACATCTGCCGCGGAAATGGCGTTATGGACATCGTGTGTGTTTCTAGGGTAAAATTGAACGGTGCCGGTTCCGCCTTGGCGTAGTACAGAACTAACGGACCGGAAGAAAACGTCTAAAAGAAGCGGTGCACTCGACCTGATAAATAACCACTGTAAAGCAGACACACTTATAACGGTGTCAAACACGCACGTGCGAAATGGAAAATGGTCGCTCATGTCGGATTGAATCACGTCAAATAGTGTTCCAGTAATATTGCCTTTCGCCATCTGCTTCCAATTTACTGCAACATCTATACCAATAACGAACCTTGAATCGCAATATGGCGCATACAACGCCTGAACATCGATGCCACATCCCAAATCTAAAACCAAGCAGTTTTCTCCAAATGAGGAGCCATAATGGGCGATATCTAGTGCCATTTTGACAACACTTTTCTGAATGTCTGCACGGAGATTGTTTCTTGGAATCTGTAGTCGTTTCTCATCGTATTCATATTTCTGCAGTTTGTTCCCAAGAAGTTCCGCACGGCGGTTCCTTCCACCCTGCAAATCGCGAACACCAAGTTCTGAGACAGAAGTTATTTGTGTGTAGCGATTACGAAAATTCAAATCCTCCTCTCTCGTGCCAGGCAGATATAAAATGGTGGATACTATTCTTTCTTTTCTTAAAAATCGACAGAAGATTATCTGACATTGTTGACAAATGCTACTTGATGTTATTGGTGTTTTACAAATCAGCATGCCGTAAAATATTTTTTATCATCGTTTAACTTTACATTTCTACAATAGAAATACATTACAATTAATGTTTCATGGCGTTCTCTCATTGATTACTACGAGGCTTATTGGTTCGATTATATGTATTGCACATTAATAAACGTCGGGTCAAAGGAAATGAAATGGGGTTTAATGTCCTTCTGTTCTACTCCGACTGGGCTATTGAGAGAGAGAGAGAGAGAGAGAGAGGGGGGGTTTAACGTCCACTCGACACAAACTAGGTCATTGACTCAATGACAGGCTTTATGGTACAGCGCGCACGTGCTACTGGGCTATTGAAGACGAACAAACGCCATATGTACAGTGTGCTATGAGGTAAATTTTGTGCGGACAGCGGCGCTACGGCCTCTTCTTCTATCGAAACCCAACTGCCACGAGATCTTTTACGTACACACCAGTGTGTCCACGAGGTCTCGAGTTTTCGTCCCATTCGAACAGCAATTGAATTTCAACTTTCAAAGGTTATTTTACTGTACGGGACCTCCGAATTTTGTCTCATCAGATGAGAATTGAAATTAAATAAAATGGGGTTTAATGTCCTACCCCGAACTGCTCTATAGGCGGGAGTAGATAACAATGCACCTAGAACAAATTGCAAAAGAAATCATTTCTTTGGGAACTGTTCAGGCGTGGTCTCTAGTACTTCCATAACAAAAGTGGCCATTATCCGTCTTGGGGAAATTTGCATAATTAACATAAATCCAAGATGGTCACCAGTTGACCAGAAAATCATTGAAATCTCCGAATCGGTTGACTTTAGTGTAAATAAATGTATTAACGAAATCGATACCCGCGAGTTAAAAAATGCCAACATTTTTTTACCTACGATCTTATTATGAAGTCGTAACGTCATTTTGATGGAATTACTTCGTGCTCATTGTGACGTCATTATCAAATTGTATTATAACAGCGCTCGGAAAACTGTTTGAAACCACGAACCGCTGTACAATTTCTATAAAAGAACACATCTTAACCAAAACTGAAACTGTACATCATCCTTCATCTATAGCTGGAAGACACGGGGTCTCAGTGAATAAGACGTTGGCTTGCTAACCTGGGGGTTCAGTGTTTGATCCCTGCGTTGGCCGAGAAAGTTCATCGGGATTTTACGGTGTGGTACCCCTTGTCAGTGGTGCAGGAGTAGCAGGACAGAAGATCTGGCAAGGGACAACGTATAGTCGTTGGGATGGGAGAGAGAGAAATGGGGTTTAACGTCCACTCGACACAAACTAGGGGATTTTTCGGACTAACATATGGTTTTTAATTTTATTTCAATAATTCGCTTGCGCGTAGGGGTCTTTAGCAGTGGGGGGGGGAACCGGAGGACCCGGAGAAAACCCACGAGGTTGGACAGGCGACCCTACTCCTCGTTGGGATGGGACGAAAAGCCGAAATCTCGTGTACACATTGGCGTGCACGTTAAGGTTCCCTTGACAGTTTGAATTCGATATAAGAGTAGAAAGAGTAGGCCGTAGTGCCAATGTGTAGCCGGCAAAATAAAGTGCTCGAAATTCTATGACTTTTTGGTCTGGAGCCATTCCGGATTGTAGGACAGTTTTCGGTCATCGATCATTATTAATTGTATCATCAATATTTCGGGAAGCGAAATTTCTTTAAATTGACTAAGTGCGACATGGGTTTCGGGCATATTTGTTTCATCAGTTAAATTTCTGGTGACATGTGAATGCAACGACAACAGCCTGGTTGATTGATTTGTTGATTGGAGTTCAGATGTTTTCATTATAATGGACCACTTTCAGGCTGCTGTATTCACGTCCTGAACTACGTAGCAAGAAAACGCGTTTTCCAGCTTGTAATTTTCATCAATTTTGTGGGAGAGACGGGCCCCAACAAATTCCCAGACGGCGTGTTTCACGACTTCTGCACTCGACGGTGACCTTTAATTCAAAGACATCGACATCCATTTAAAAGACATAGTAAAAGTCTAATCTTACGAGATTATCGCCGGTCTTATCGGAAAAACGACATTTTAGTACTACGTTCATCTGAACAAATCTGAATAGGCTAATGGAACAATAGAAAAATATGAACATAACAAATGATATATGATTCAACTGAAAGGAGATATATATGCAACATAGATGATTATAAATATCTACACTCAAGTTAAACCAACTGTGTCTATTCATTTTAAATCTTACGTCGAACTAAATAAACTATATGATTTATTGTCATTAAAACACCAATGGCTGGTTAACAGTGTGTAATTAAAGAGTCAAAGACTATAATTGGATCTTTGTGGAAAAAGTCATATTAATAAATTTAAGGTGTCATACGATTGCACATACCTGCAAGGTAGATTCAAAGACAAAATATAAACTAAGATATCATTATATTCTTTAATTACCTACATTTTAATTTTAATTTTAATGTACCTACAATTTTCTACACCAAGTTGAATACAACACATATATAAGATATATAACCAAATTTTGCAATTTTGGATTAAATTTTGCCGGCCATTTTTAATATCTGCCATCGTGGATTCATTTTTGAGATCAGTATTGAACCCGGCGACATCGAGAACCGTGTAAATGACATGTTACAAGTAATATCCAACAGGAAAAAATGACGATTAAATTAACATCTGCCGATTTGTGTTGCTGCCATTTAGGATTTTAGAAATTTAACTTTAAATTCGGACATCGAAAACCATATAAAAGACGTAGCAAAAAGTCATATCTTACGAGATTATCGCTGCCCTTTAATTGCAATTATATTACCAAATTTGGGCAGCTATTTTGAAGAAATGCCCGGCACCATATGAAAAATACATTTTTTTTTAAAAATTGATATTTGTCAAATTCGATTTTTCGACACATTTCGCTTGCATAATCGCTCTGTGTTTGAGGAATTTAAAACATTATTTATTCTTCCTCCACTGAAACACACTGATTACGAGATATCGCTCTCCGAAAATTACTGAAGACCGCCATTTTGAATTATGTTGATTAGACTACGTCATTTTGCCTTGGCAAAACTCGGCCAATTTTGAGTATGATTTTGTCTGATATATTTATCATTGAACCAAACTGCATTGGTGCAATTTGTTTAAGGTAAAACGTTATCTCTCCCCACCTATATAATACTACATGAAGTAAATAAAACGTTTTGTAATGTTATAAGTAAAGCTGTATGACGCCATGTCGTAACATTCCCTATCATATATAGGACTTTGGTTACGATAAGGTCGTAGGGTACTCGCGAGTATCGATTTCCTAAAGGTCGGTAATACATTTAGTTGCACTAAAGCCAACCGTTTCGGAGATTTCGTCGATTTTCTGGTCCACTGGCGGCCATCTTGAAATTATGTTAATTATAATATGCAAATTTTCCCCAAGACCGATAACGGCCGCTTTTGTTATGGGAGTACTAGAGATCATACATGAACAGTTCCTAAAGAAATGATTTCTATTGCTGTTTGTTCTAGGTTCTCCCTCTCATATTGTTATCTCTACCCACCTACAATTAATGAAGACGGGAATACACCATACAGTGTGCTATGAGGGACATTTTGCCCGGACAGCGGCACTACGGCCTACTCTTATATCGAATTCATACTGTCAAGGGATCTTCTACGTGTACGCAATGTGTATTACAGGACTTCGGTTTTTCGTCCCATCAGAACGACTAGACAGTTGTTCTTGTTGGGTCCTTCGTCCTGCATCACTGACAAGGGGGAACCACGCCGGAAAATCTGGATGAACTTTCTCGGCCAATGCAGGGATCGAACACCCGACCTCCAGGCGCCCATCAGGAGGACTAGACGCTGTTTCTTCCGCCGTGCACCACTGACAAATCCCGGAAAAATTTCTCGGCCAATATTAATATTTAAAGACACATTCCCGGCTACAAACTGGGTGATTTGATGATATATTTGGACTAAAAACATATTCAAACTAATAAATTTGTCATAATTTTGCTTCAAATCCTTCTCAAAACATTGCAATTACCAGGGAATACCCTGGCTATAAAAAATCGACCAAAAGAGGTCACGTTTTTGTCAAGTGACTTACCCCTCTCTCTCTCGGAGGAGAATTCATTGCATACACGAGACGATGTTGTCTTTAATCGCCGATTATTTATTACAAATATCGAAGCCTAATTAAATTCTCGGGTTATCCACTGCCCACGTCTTTTTCCGTGATTTTCCGTGTTGTATGTCTAACTCTTCATAAAGTTTATCAACATGTAGGCCTACATCAAGCGCTCAATCTGATCTCCGCGTACAACCTTTGACGTCACACGTATGCAGACACTCCTAATCGTCGGGCTGTTGATTAGGGAAACCCATACATTTTTGTCCTGTATGCGCTCCATGAGTGTTTTTCTAGTAAGATTGGATATTTCTACTTTCCATATATACCAAAATTGTCATACTTTTACTGGAAATAACCACGCGATAAATATAGTAATACTTTTCTGGGAACGTATCTTTAAGGGTCCGCACGCCTATATATTGTATAATACGTGGAGTCACGGTATGCCTGTCTTCATTAGCCCGGCGGGTGCAATAAAGTTGGACGTTAAACTCCATATCATTTCATTGCTGTGTAATATAATAAGGCCAATTGGCAATTGCATCAGATTTAGACGTAGGCTATTTCCTCAAATTTCTGTAGCCTAGGCTACCTTTGTCGACAAGTTATAGTAATAGCACGTACCCATTCAACACACCGTATCAACAATGAATTTTATACGCTATTGTATTCAGTGATTTATGAGATCTTATATAGCGGTATCCCGGTCTCGTTCTGCTGCAAACTGCAATAAAATTTATTTAATCGATATTCGTTTCGCTGTGTAGCTTCGGAGAGAATTTGTAGTTAACCGTTACGAACGGTAAAGAAATGGAGAACCTGAAAGAAGAAATCAAGATTCAGGGAGAATTGGTACGGAAATTGAAAACTGAAAAGGCAGACAAGGCTAAGGTTAGTGGGAATTATATATCCGGTAGTGACAGATGTAAAAATACCTTGAAATTCTTGATAATTTTGAGCTATACGTCGCGACCGAAATTTTGTCAACAAAACACACGTGTCGATACCGATAATACGGATATGATTGTCATAATTCGACGGGGTATGCCCATGGACATGATACTTTTGCTCAAACTTAATAGATTTATAACAGTTCTTTGTTTTTATATTTAAAAAAATCGTATCCCATCCTACCGTAATTAATTGTTGACAGCTACTTCATAAGCAGTCGGCATTTTATGTTATCTTTCGGGGGCAGACGCAGTCAAAGGGAAGCAACTGCTACTGTTCTCGTAGCCAAAATAAAATGATGCAATGACCTGAAAAACCCCGGTGTTTTGACCTATTTATATGCCAATAAGAAAAACATAATCTTGATGATGCAAGGATGTGAAAGCCCCACTGTACCTTAACAACACAACTTCATAATTGATGATGAAATGTAGATAACTTGATCCTCAATTGTCAGTTGAAGGAGTCTTAGTTTTGAAGCCAGTAGCACTAGCAAGCACATCTAGACCAAGATATCATTATTTTTAAACAAGTTATTTCTATATTTGGAGAGTCAATGGAGTTAGCAAGCTGGAAAAAGGCGAACAGTGTTAAAATTCACATATTATCAATGTTTTACGTAACAGCAAACAGTAACAATCTTTGTAGTAATTCATTTCGGGACACTGTTGTCAGTCGGACTCCGAGTGAACAAAATATGAATTAAAACTGAAAGTTTTGATTTACTGTGTATTCATTGTATTGGATAAAGATAATTGTACAGAAGTTTGTTGAACGAAATTAGGAGCTTTGATTATTAGGTTAATGACCTGTTCCGTCCAAAGTTTTATCCGTCTTCATTAGCCCTATCGGAGCAGAACAGTAAAACGTTCAACCTCATTTCATTTCCAAAGTATTATTTGATTAGATCATAGTATTTGATCTCTCAGTTTGCAATAAAGCTCAAGTTGATTAAAGTCAAGGAATCTCTGTGAACCATTCTTCGAGATGAATTATACTTTCACACAAAACATGTTTTCAAGTCAAGATATGGTGCTGGTTTGTCGTACAGAAAAAGAATATAAAATTCATGAAAAAATGAAAGAAATTGGAGATGGAATTAAAAAACTTAAAAAAGAAAAATTAGAAGGATTCAGAGAAAAGGTTGCTAATTGCTAATCATATTAGAAAAATATTTATTTTAAAATATATTTTCAGGGAATGTGTAGGGTGTGGGATAATTTTTGAGCCATGTATTTACAGAGTGCATAAGTTTACATGTGCATATATTATAAAAAAGTTGCATTCCATTAAGCAGGATTCCTAAAACTTTCATTTTGTACATTTCGAATTTCTACAATACCGGTATAGCACCATTGAAAATTTGCTGAGAGCAAGCAGTCTTTTGATTACCAATAGATTGTCTTGACAATTATACATACCATTTCAAAAGGCAGGATTTTGCTAAGTAAGAGGGGCCAGGTTGACGTTTAGATGTATGTCAACCCTGTCTTCTGGTTACTGATTTTAAAACTTGTATGATGTAATAAAGCAGCAAGATGTACAAACAAGAGAAAGATGTTTGTTATCATAATTTGTTTACTTGTTGAAACCTCCACTTTAATTGGTTGAAAGACATGAGACTGTGAATGCAGTGTCACTTATCTTATAAGACCAATCATGACTATTTTTATTGGTATACTTGGTATAGGATGAAACACTTTGTTAAAAAAAAAACTCTTACTTATAATTATACCATATTGGTTGCCTGGTTTAAATCTTTTTACCAGGTTTGCTGAAGAGTTTTTTTTCTGCTTTCCTTTTCATCTCTACTTTGCTGTCTGATTGATTACCAATTCCTCTAATACCATCATGATGTTGACTTATTCTGTATGCCGATTCCATCTTTCATTGCTACGTCAAAATAACTTGCGATCTGTATGGCGACATTGTTCATCTATGCAGGTAAGACATTCAAAATAATTTATTGGTTATGGTGATGATAATTTTGTGAGGATGTGGCCTCTATTTTTTGAGACATTAAAAGATACAATATTCCTCATATCATTTATGGACTTTATACATAAAGTGTTGAAACATCCATTTAGAGTATATTTTGTCAATGTTGAAAAGGGGAAATCAAATAATGGGAATCATTTTCTAAACCAACTGGACTGATGAAGATGAACATACACCATGTCCAGCCAGACATGTTTCTGCATACTCTTCATGGAATTCCAATTTTATAAAGTATTGTATTTTTGATTAAATAAACATGTGTCTGTCACATTATAAGATCCTGAACAAGATGATCACACTGAACAGTTCTACCACCTATATGATTCATTTAAATAAAAATAAAGAATTCTTTTTAATAACGTAACAAACTTACCTTACGGGACCCTGTCCTGTTATTAATGCATAGAGCAAGGATTACTTGTTTTACATGCATGATGACAATTTCAGATTATATCTTAAAACCACATGTTGGATTCACATACTGATAGCGAGGACGTGATTCGCACTGAAACATTAGTGAACAATATTCTAGACCAGTCAGACCTTCATATCTTATTTCAATTGATAAGTCTTATCTTCAAATACCAAGTAGAACTCAATTTGCACATGGTTGTTTGTGTGTGTGGATCAAGGATTTTAATAGACTAGGGTTAATTAGTATTTGATTAGTTACATACTGTTATAAACATGGAAGTTACTGGTCTTGGTATTCATAAAAATATCAAGTTATCCAAGCAACCACCTCGTTTAAAGTCTAGGAAAGAACAGGTAGGGCTTGTGTTAATTCCGTTTGTAATATAGGTGACCAGCACTATCAAGGCTGGATGATGAAATTTTGTTTGCGTGGGTTATAAAGGATTGGTAGACATGAATGTCTCCGCTAAAAAAAAGATAATGTTTATATGTCGTGCCATGATAAGAACCCTTCAATTCACACGAAGTTCAGAATCGATTTGTGAAACTGGAATATTTACAATAACATTGAATTCTATGTTTACATCTTTTTGTCGTGATTCAATGTTTACGAATGTGCGAGTATCAAAATGGAAATCCTATCAACAAGATTCAACATTACTTCGTATTTTTATTGAAGATGCTATTTTAAAGTTTAGTTCAAAGTCAAGTTCACAGAGAAAAAAACGGATCAAGGAGTTAAAAGAAATTGAAGTGCATGTACCAACCTGTCCAGAGCCTGTTGTAGAAAATGTGATACCGGTACACATTATTCATTAGTCAACAGCATCGTCTGCACTTTCAGTTTGACTTAATATTACTCAACAGCAATCCGGGAGCCACGGTGGCTCAGTGAGTAAGATGTTGGCTTGCTAACTTGGAGGTCTCATGTTCAAACCCTGCGTTGTCCGAGAAAGTTTATAGGGATTTTCTAGCATGATTCTTCTTTGTCAGTGGTGCAGGATCGAGGGCCTGGCAAGGGACAGCATATGGTCCTGTGTATACATGGGCGTGCACATAAACGATCCCTTGGCAGTTGGAATTCAATATATAAGAATACTTTATAGTGCCACTGTCCAGGCAAAATTTCCCTCATAGCACATTGTATGGAGAATGCCTGTTTTCATTAGCCCAGTCGGAGCAGAACAGTAGGATGTTAAACCCCATTTCATTTCTCAACAACAATCCAAATTCATGTAAACTTGTAGTTCGGATGGGATGTAAAACAGTGGTATACACATGTACATGTTGGTCTGTGATTTGACTGTTGGAACTCAATGAAAAGTAGGGGCAAACTCGGCTGTCCTTGGCATTGCATGTGAACCTTATTTTAGTCTCAAAATAACATACACCTACAGGCACACATTCTTTTGGAAGAAAAATAGGACCATTTGAATTGTTGACTTTATTTTAAGATGTTTTATGTAAAAACTGAAACTGAATCAGCTACAAACAGTTTTTTCTTCATTCATGCAGTAAATGGCACTAGGCATTCTGGAAAGAGAATGGTAAAGTTAATACTTATGGAATATTTGTGATGTTTTTCAGATAAGTGAAGAAGTAGCCAAGTTATTGGAGCTTAAAGCTAGTCTTCCAGATGAAGGTCAAAAGAAGTTTGTTCTCAAAACCCCAAAGGTATAGTAATTTAATTTTTAATATCGAAAAGGGAAAGGAACAAATAACTGTGTAAAAGATCACAACAATGCTCTGAGAGTCAGTGCCAGATTAAGAATATGGTAGTCCTGGCGGGGATCACGTGGCTAAGTGGGTAAGACGCTGGCTCACTAGCCTGGAGGTCGGGTGTTCGATCCCTGCATTGGCTGAGAAAGTTCATCCAGATTTTCCGGCATGGTTCCCTCTTTTCAGTGATGCAGGACGGAGGGACTGACAAGGACAGCTGTCTATTCCTTCGGATGAGACGAAAAACCGAGGTCCCGTGTATACATTGGAATGCACGTAAAAGATCCCTTGGCAGTTAGAATTCGATATAAGAGTAGGCGATAGTGTCGCTGCCCGGGCAAAATTTCCCTCATAGCACACTGTATGGCGTATGCCCGTCTTCATTAGTCCAGCATAGGAGCAGAACAGTAGGACGTTAAACCCCATTTCATTTCATTTCGGTAGTCCTGGCACAATTAAAGCAAATATCCCCAAATATTGAAATTTAATTATATACATGTACATTTGTTTTATTGATTTGAATATATAACATGCATCAGTCTGTCACTGTTGAATTTGTCAGATTTTCCTTATATTTACCATAGATTTAAATGGACATAATGCTAAATCAAAATTTAAATTAATCTAATTTCTATCTATTAGGTATCTTAGTACAGGATTAGTATGTTTTTCTCTACAGGGTACAAGAGATTTTAATCCTTATCAGATGTCAATTAGAGAGGGGGCGTTTACCAAGATTATAGCAGCATTTAAACGTCATGGTGCTGAAACAATTGACACACCTGTTTTTGAATTAAAGGTTTGATATTAAAATGATTTTCATCTTAAATATATTATAATGTGGTTGTAATATTTTTGGAAGATGACTTCATCAATTAGGATTCTTAAATTCAAGCAAATTTTTTAGAGGACATATTGAATCGTCTTTATTACGATGCTTTTCTTATTTCAAATTCCAACTATCAAGGGTTCTTTTATGTGCACGCCATGTGTACGTGTGATTTTATTTTTCGTTAGCTCCGAATTTCAACCGTACACATCTTGATCATAAACTACAAATCATATTGCCTTTCATTAAATTAAAATATTGATCATGATGTTATGATTGGCAATAAAGTAACAAAAAACAAAGTCTTCTATTCTACCAATGTCATATTGTATATTCATCAAAAACTATTTATTTACAATGATGGACAGTTCCTCTAATAACATCACATTCAAATTGTGATTTGTTTCTTTAAAGGCAAAACAAATTTGCACCTCAGGACTGGCTCTAATTTCATACAAAAGAAAATAACTCTACAGTGTAAAGTAATATTATGTAGTAAAATGAATTTGTATTTACAGGAAACTTTAACTGGGAAATATGGAGAAGATTCTAAGTTAATTTATGATTTAGCTGATCAAGGGGGAGAACTTCTGTCATTAAGATATGATTTAACTGTATCTTTTATATCAAAAAAGTTTGCAAGCTGTGTAATTTTGACACCTGTACATGTATATTTTTGTAGACTAATTAGTTGATGAGTATGGACCAAAAGATTGTCAAGTTGTTTAGAATTTAGATGAGATCAAAACCAAATAGTGTATAAATCAAAAAGTACTGCCTTGTACACATAAAGTGTATGACAGATACAAAGAATGAATGACTATTTATATAGATTGTACATAGTATTTAGCCATTAACACTAATGATCTCCAACTTTTATTACTAATTGCTCAGGTATACTGGGAAAAAACATTGTCGCATCTTAATGAGCATTTTGTGGTGTAAGGGGAGACAATAGGTAATAGAAGAGTTATCTCCCTTACTAATTTGTTTTGTAGCTAAACTTGAAATGACATATTACTATTAGTTTATATTTTGTTACACCTTAACTACACTTAGGTACCATTTGCACGTTATTTAGCCATGAACAAAATCACCAATATTAAAAGATACCACATAGCAAAAGTATACCGAAGAGATAACCCAGCCATGACAAGAGGAAGATACAGAGAATTTTATCAATGCGTAAGTTTTTTTTCTCAGAAATTTCATAACCGATTTTGAATTTGTATCCAAGTCCATTCCTGCTTGACGTTCTCTGTCACTGAGATAGTGCAAAGCAGCGCTCACGCTGTCAATCGCCATTGCCGCCAATTGCGATAAAAATATAATTTTGGCGATAAAATATTCCATCTGGCGAAATTTTTGGCGATAACTTTTTCACGCAAAATTTTTTTCTTGCCACATAACTTTCATTTCCACGCCGTTCATATATACACGTTACAGTCTATTATGCGCTTGGCTGAGTCAGTTGTCAATCAATTAGGTGTCAATAATAGAGATATCTTTTGTCTCTTGATCAATCTAGGATTAGTATTTACAGTAAAAGTAGTAATAAACTAATTAAGAGACAAAAGATTTAATTATTTGTCTTCAAATACGAATCAGTGGCGGTTTCTATGTATTCAAAATGGCGAACACTGTGAATAATACTCGTTCGATTTGTTTGGGATTATTGAATTATGACGTCTGTTTTATCTTTTTCTTACTCCTGTTGTTACAGTTTATAATTGCGTATATATTCTTTGGGTTGTCGAAAGTCAGTTATCATCAAATCACATGCCATGGGTCGTAAGCGAAAAATTGAACAGCCTTCGACAATGTCCGATAGAAGAATGTCAGATTATTTTAGTATATCACCACCAAAATGCTCCAAGTCTACAAATGATACTGATATGATCAGCTCTCGTCCATCTAATATTATTACATCCTTGAATTTTGAAGCGATATCAACTTCTACAATAGGTCTGCATTATGCTACCTCAAAAGTTTGTGAAAGAGAAAAATTTCGAAAAGAAAAATCTTAAAGGGGCATTATGGGAGATTAGATAAAGAACTGGCAGTTCTCACTATAATATTTAAAAATAGATAACGTCAATAGAATATGCTGGAAATTTCAGTCAAACTGCTCCACTCTGAACCGCGATATTAGCTTTTGAATTTTAGGCCTAGCCTCGATCATCATTACTAAAGTTGGTACAATAAAAAAACATAGTCTTGATTATCCATTTTTGTTTAAGCTCATACTGATAAGGTAGATCTTTTAAGGATGAATGGAAATTTTCAGATATACAGATATTCATTAAAAACAAATACACTGTGTAATTTAATGTTACTTAGTAATGGAAAAGTAGTTAACCAAGATGTTGAAAAAGCTTTCAAAAAAATGGGCTTCCGCAAAGCAGAGTAGAATATTGTAAATTGTAATATCATATGTATATTGTATGTACTTATGTAAAAAGAAAATACTGAAAAAATCTAATAGTTATTTGTTCTTTATTTTGGCGGAGAAAGTATATGGCTAATAAATTAAAATGAAAATTTGGCGGAAAAAAAATGAAACCCAGAGTGAGAACTGGTGCAAAGTATTAGATCTATTGAAGTTTTGGGAGAATTCCCTTTCAGATGCTGATGAGTATCCAAAGTTGTCGTGACACATGAACTTTGATTCGTAAATGATGTTAATTGTTGAAAATACAAATACTACAATTTTTTGCAAAGTTAATAAATCATTTCAGCTTTAGTCTGAGTATAATATCTTTAAGTCTTTGTTTAAAAACATCTTTTTATTCTGTAAGATGCTGATAGTAAATTGATATTATTTATATTAACAGGATTTTGATATTGCTGGTCAGTTTGATCCTATGATACCAGATGCTGAGTGTGTTAAAATAGTTGCTGAAATTCTCGAGAGTTTAGAATTAGGAGATTATGTAGTAAAGGTATAGAATTTACCACCCTCTGTTTTGTTTTGTAAATTAAATGATAAATAATTAATCTGAGTATATTTTAGTTTGGATTGATACGTTATAACAATGAATAGTTTGAATAATCACAATCAATAAAAATATATATACCGTCTCTAGAAGAATATTATAACATATTTTACTAGGTAAATGATCGTAAAATATTAGATGGTATGTTTGCTGCTTGTGGTGTACCAGAAGATAAATTCCGATCTATTTGTTCAGCTGTAGATAAATTAGATAAGGTAAGAGTTTTTATTTGTTTTTACATGGACGTTAGGATCTAGGTGTGATGTCCCTAGTTCAAGTCCCATCATGAGCTCAAAAAAACTTTTCAAGAGAAGTTATCAGAAGTACAAGAGAAGTGTCTAGCTATTTGTATGACATCAATGTTTCTGTCTCCTCCTACTGCCAAGGGTTCTTTTGCGTGCACGTCTGGACCTCAGTTTTCCATCCCATCAGAACAACTAGACACAATTTCTTTGTCCATCTAAAAGTTGCATCAAGTGACATATTAGAATCAGACTTGAAATATCCAAATGATTCTTGAGTGCCTTGTTACACGACCACCTTGCCCATTTGCAATCTGACAGAGAAGACGCAAAATATAATGAGGTTCCACTATATGTCAAGTGATATAATGTTTTTATTCAGTTTTTGTGTTTTTAAATTTGAATGAATTTCTATTTATTTGATAGAGTTAGTCATTCTTTACTGCATTTTATTGTAGACATTTTGGTCCGATGTACGAGCTGAGATGATTGATGAGAAAGGGTTAGATCCAGTAGCAGCAGATAAAATAGGAAAATATGTTGAACTTAAAGGAGGATTAGATTTAGTAGATAAATTATTACAAGATGAGAATTTAATAAAAGAATCCAGTGCTAAACAAGGTCTAGAAGATATGAAATTATTACTCAAATATTGTGAATTGTTTGGTGTATTAGATAAGGTAACTATTTTTATACACTCACATTGTTGTCACTTTTATCTGTCCACAATTCCAGGGTTGTCTTAGACATAACTTCTCAACAGAATATTTTGATAGTAAGTTTTATTCAGATTTATTTTTAAAGCTGAGGACAGAGATTCTGTTCAGTGTGTGGCTATTTTAAATATGACTGTATTCATTATTAATTACATGGGTTTTTATGCTCTTTATGGTCTATTCCATTTGTATGAAAAATTATGATTTTACTTTAGTATATTTGATATTTTCAGGTTAGCTTTGATTTAAGTTTAGCACGAGGTTTAGATTATTATACAGGTGTTATTTATGAAGCTGTTTTATTAGGTAAGTTTCAATAATTATTATACTATATCTTTACAGGTAAGCAATAGCTAACCCCCTCTCTCTTTATTTAACCAAGGTGAAATATTTTCAAATTGTGTTTTCATTAATAATTTTTCAGGGTTTTCCCATACACCTGGCACTGAGTCGGAAGAGACTATTGGTGTAGGTAGTGTAGCAGGAGGTGGAAGATATGATAAATTAGTTGGAATGTTTGATCCTAAAAATAAAATAGTTCCTTGTGTTGGTGTTAGTATTGGTATTGAGAGAATCTTCTCTATTCTAGAGGCTAGAGCGATGGTAAGATATCTTCACTTCGTAATCAGTACTTAAATAAATCTCTTCATAATCTGGAGCCACAGTGGATCAGTTAGTATAGCAATGTCTACTAGCCACGGTTGTTCCTAAGGATTTTCCAGGCTGGCTTCTGCTTGCCAGTGGTGAAGAATGGAGGGCCTGGCACAAACAAGTGTCTAGTTGTTGGGATGGGACAGAAAGTTGAGTTCCACTACTGTATTTGTTGGTGTGCACAAGTTAATATAAAAATTAAACATACATTATGCAAGAGCTAAATCTGCCTATTGCAGGTCTATCTTCAGGCCTGAAATGTTATCTAAAATATTAATTAGACATTTATTAACATACTAAGACCATAATCAACTCTTGATGTTATCGCTAGCCTGCGATATTTATTGGATTATGATCTGATTTGCTGCTCAACTTTCATTCATGATTTAATCATGAAATGGATAATCGAGACTATGTTTTTTATTGTACCGACTTTAGTAATGATGATCCAGACTAGGCCAAAATTTCAAACGCTTAATTCTCGATTCAGAGTGGATCAATTTGACTAAAGTTTTCAGCAAATTGCCTTTACATTATCTAGTTTTAATTTCAATAAGGTGTATCCAGAGAAAATCCACAAGGTTGTGCGTTCTCAAATACAAGCATGCAGTCATTGAACCTATAACTTCCTCGGTAAAATACCATAAGTTTTAAAGTGCATGTGTACATTTAAGGCGTCTTCCATGATTAAGACCCACTAGAAAAAGACATTAACACCCCCAACTGTACTGATTTCTATATATTTATTTTAGGCTTCCGAGAAGAAAGGCCGTACTACATCAACAGAAGTATATGTTATATCTGCTCAGAAAAATATGTTAGAACATCGATTACAATTATGTAAAGAATTGTGGGATAGTGATATTAAGGTTAGTTGAAAATATTCCATTTCAAATGATACTTTTAAAATTTTCCCCTCATCTGTGCTTGATATTTTAAAAGTTTTTCTGGTTGTCCAAATACACTAGGATTTCATAATAACTTCTCTTAAACATTGGGAATCATAAAAATATTTCCTGAAAGATTGATTGTCAGCCACCTCACTGTTAAGACCAGTCAATATCAGTCACATAACTGGTCTTAATTCTGTGATTTCATTGTATTTAAACTAATGTGTTTTTTAATAGAAAAGCACTAAAGAATTTGTACATCTTGTAAATTGAAAGTTTAAATGCTTGGCAGATGTTTTGTTTTGAATTTTGCATATTTTCTACTGTGAATATGGTCTATGTACATTAATTGCACTGTCAGATCATGTTAAAACAGTTTGCGAATATGTTAAAAGGTGCTGACACGTCTATAAAGATTGACCTTGTTTATGTTTTGCTGTTAATTGATAGTTGAAAAATAATATCTTTTTAGACAGAACAATCATACAAGAAAAACCCGAAGATGTTAGACCAGTTCCAAGCCTGTGAAAATAATGGAATACCCTTAGCTGTTATTATAGGAGATTCTGAAATCAAAAATAATGTTGTTAAATTAAGAATAATAGAAACACGAGCCGAGGTAAGAATTATAACACATCTGTTATACTTTACAACACATAATGTCAAATATTTTATAAAACAAAAATACCATATTTTACCATTCCTTTTACTTAGAGATATGTATTTTTAATATTAGACCTTATGGAGTCCCTATGTGTCATTTGTATTTTTCAAAATATTGAAGGTTTAGTTATTGTTTTGGAGTTGTATATATGTACAAGGCATATATATATCTCATTTCTGTTATAAATTTTATGCATTACTTGCTTACATGTATCTAGCGTTAAACCTCATCATGTATGTTTTATTTTCTATTTTAGCGTGAAGTACCAAGAAGTGAAATGGTAGAAGAAATCAGAAAAGAATTGGCTAATTTATAATATTTATTGTTCATTCTCATGAAAATCTGGACTAGATAACAGGGAAGAAACTCGATATAAACTTTACTCTTAAATTATCAAATAATGAGGTTTATAACAGGGTGGCATCTCCTCAGTTACAACACACCTTTTTATGGTATCAACACCCACCACGCTCCTTTGCTACTGAAAAATACAAATTTTAAAACTCTTGTATATTTTTTTGAATATGTCATGTCCTTCGAGCTACACACAAAATGTTTCATTGTTATTCTAAATACACAAGTCATATATTGTTTACTTGTCATTGGTGCATTTTTCTGTTATTTTCGGTTCTCCTATTAGTGTTTAACGTGATCCTATAAAATCATCGATTGATTTTATTTCAACGTTAGACCAAAATCAATCAGTTATTTACTGAACTAACAATTACTTGTAGAATACTGTTTGTATATTTGAGAATAATGATAAAGCTCAACTGTCTTCAATATTTAGTCTAATAAAAATTAGACCTATACAAAAATTAAAGAAATTGAGTTATAATTTAGAAGAGATAATAGATGTATCATTATGGTAGAGGAATATAATTTATTATGATGATATTAAGTAAGGTGTTTATTGTATATACAATGAATCAATGTTTGTCTATATTGCTTTGTATTTTGTTCTATGTGGAAATGTAAATCATTGAGAATATAAAAAAAAATTTCTATGAACTTGTAAATTGTGATTTATTTAAATAATTGAAAGATTGAGGGACATCTGGTCAATAGTTAATACCATGCATTGAAACCAAGATAGTAATTTTTATTTTTAAACTTTTTGGGGGGGGGGGTAACTTTTCCAACTACTTTTCTTCTAATTTCAACTGCCAAGTTATAATTCCTGTGTCCTGCCAAATTTGAGATTTGATTTTGATAGCATACATATGCATGCATGGCCTTTTCCATTGGGAACTGTGCATTAATGGGACAGTCTCCGGTATATTGTTGACATGTGATTCTTAATTGTGGGTTGAGCACGACTGCTTAAATAACGATAAGAGTTATGTCCCTTTATTTCTGGAAAAAAGGTCTGACAAAACTTTTGAAATCCCATCACTGTATTGCAGTGAATAAAACTGCTCATAACATGGACGGGAAATCTTCTTTTGTTCTTTTCGATGAATAAGCAGATTGTTTTCCCTCTAGTAGATTGGGTGGAGCTTAATCGAGCAATAACTAGACATGTTCAATGTTATTGCACACTTTTGCTGGTTTACACTAGTTTTAGTAGAAATCATATAGAGAAGTGGGGTAGGTTTTCTGTGCAATAACAACAAGCATGTTGAGCAGGTGTGGAAGGATGTGAGAAAACTTTACCCTAGTCCCCATGTGGCTGGTAATAAGTACTATAGACGTGCTTGGATAACCCTGTGTATATATACTGGCCAAAGTTGTAGCTAAATTATATTGGTAAGTGGTTGTTGGGATTATCAAGTCAAACAATTGGAATTCCTCAAATCAATCCAAGCCATCATTTAAAAAACACTCAAAATATAGATCTAAAATTTATACACACGTCTGAGCTACTTCTTCACATTCTGGAGTTTGATTTAGTTATACAGTATAAATAAGAATTTTCTTTCACCTACTGAAGCCTATGAGATTCACTCCAGCATGAATTGAAAGAATTCTACTTGATCTGTCCTTTCAATAGTGATTAAATGCTTTGCTAGCCTATTTTTGACATACTGATGTGATTTGCTGTATTAGGTTATATTTTGATAACTGATGGTTACCGTTGCTAGGGAAAAACAGATGGATGGAAATTGTAAGCTTTCACTAACTAATTGTACAATAAGATCCTACGTATGAAAGCACACATTACCAACATCTTTCCTGACGGGAGGTTAAAGGAGCTAATATTTGGGACCTAGAACTTGACCCAAATGGGTCGCAACGCAATGCATATAATAAAGTAATCTGAATGTATATAAACTGATTTACATTCAATCGTTTCTGTTTTTACTCAATTTCTAATCAGTTCTGTTCCGCAAATATGCCAGAAGTCTCAATCAAATGGCAAATTCTAACGCCTGGTCATTCCAGTCTACACCGATAGTATTTATTGCGCATGCTCTCCAGATAAGAATATGCCGTTACCGTATGACATAACTTGTGGATTATGTCTAGCCTCATTCTTCAAGTCCCTTGGTGCTGAAATGCATTATGGTACACGATTCGTGAACCAATGGTATAATGTTTATCTTGTCTTATTGGACATCAGAAGCCTGTCTTTTCCCGGTAAGATCACAACATCAATGTTGATTTAAATTGACAAATAATTTGTGTTTTCAATGCCGAGAACTTTAGGGTGACATAAGAAAGGTTCTTTGGCAGTTGTAAATTGCTATTTTCAAATTCATCGATTCAAACAAACCCATCATTATTGAACAAGATAAAGCGAAAACTCCTACAATTATAAAAGGGGCAATTTACAATCTGTCAACCAATGCATAGCTAAACTTTTAAATTCCAAATTCCCACACCAAGCACAAGAGTGGAATCTGTCTGAATTCAGATCCTCACCTCTGTCTAGACCAAAAACGATTATTTAATGTTATGAACTTTTTATTCCCATTTTTAAATCATAGCAGATTGTATTAAAATGAATCTATATATATCACAGACAATGAAATACATGGATCTTATAACATCTAACTCTATGACACTTTTACTTAGATATTTAGGATATATATATATATATCATCAACAGGCAATGACACACTGTTAATAAAAATTACAAATCATATACTAATAATAGTATTACACTTCATTCATGAAATGGGTCTGGGGACATTTTCATTACATTATGAAGATAAGTAAAAAAAAATGTATTTCATTTTCTTACATTACGCAATGGTTCGGTCATTATTTTGATAACTGAAATTTACGATACACAATTTAAAAAATTACATACTTCAGAACTCTTAAAAAAAATTTAAGATATTTTCATACATTTATGGTTGTGGGAAAATGTATGTGATTATAATTTTAATAATAGAAATTTCAGATACACACTTTTCAATAAATTACATACTTCAGAACTCTTAAAAAAGATATTTTCGTAAATTTATGGTTGGGGGAAAATGTATGTGATTATAATTTTAATAATTAAATTTTCAGATACACACTTTTTTAAATAAATTACACACTTCAGAAGGTTTTAAAATTTGTGCAAACCAGTTACATTTATAATATTAAAATCTATTATGTTGAAAATATTAAGTACATCCTTCCATCATAATTCTGCTAAATAACTAAATAGTGTTAAACACCAAAATATATCGGACAATTAAAAAAAGAATAATAATGAATTTAAATAGCCATTATTTCTGTTAAAAGAACAGTACAACAAATATTAAATATATAATCATATAGACTTCACAATTTATAATAATAATAATAAAATGAACTGCGAAAAAATTGACTGAAACTGACGATGTAACAGTTGATAAAATTGCTACTTTTAAATATTTATGTAATTCTGTTCATATTTTTCTATATCTCTTTCTGTCAACATATTATAAGAGTATGGTATACAAACTCTAATATACATACAAACAACAAAAACAAATGTATATTTAAATCTATGTTCTATTTACATGCTTAGAATGTATGAGCATTACGACAAACACCACAGCCCAGAGCAAATTCTTCTCCTGTTGGTGGATGTTGGACATGTAATGGGCATTCTTCACCTTCTAATTGTTTACATCTTGGCCCTAGAAAGAAAACACATAAAAACATGAAGATAAAGACACATATTATCTTAAAACTAGTAATCATCATTTGTATTTTTCAGAAAATATCAACCTGCATGAAAATAGTCTATTCCAACAGGTGGCACTGCTTTGTTTATATCACAGACATGATTTTAGCTGTTGGAAAAAAAAGCTGAAAAAAAATCTCGGAGTGGGGAGGGGGGGCGTGTCCAGGGGCAACGCCAGTGTGTTATGGGGGCCAAAGGCGATTTCAAAGTAAAGGGGGGGGGGGTTGTTCTGATAATGAATTTTAAAATTCTTGTATTTGTCTACTAATTTACTACAATGTTCTTTTTAACCGTCTTCATTAGCCCAGGTTAGGAGCAGAACAGTAGGACCTGAAACCCCATTTCATTTCATTTCATACTACAAATTTTGGCTTAACTTATATTTAATTTATTTCTCTTCCATTTACAGAATACTTACTAACAAAAAAAATAATGTTTGAACTACGGATGCGTCCCTGTATAATTTTCTAGACTAGAATGTTTTGCTCTAAACTTCTCCATCCCCCTCCCTCCGACTGTAATTAATATTAATAAGTCACGACTCTTCGGGCATTGACTTAATGAACAGAACGTCTCACAAGCTCGCCTTCCACCTTCCGTTTCAACCATTTCCACTTCCATACATTTTAAGGTCCTTTGTCTAATAGTTTGGTGTGGGCGTCTCGATCTACAACATTAGCCATAGAGAAACTCTATGTTACTTGTACACAGTGACAGGCGATCTCGTTCAATCTCGAGTGAGTCTACAGTACCTTACTGTTAATGTTTACATTGCTGACATCCGGTTAGCAGATTTTAAAGTTATGGATAGATATTTTGGAGTTAACCAGTTAGAAATTCGTCAGGAAAAAATTAATGATTTTTTTATTATGATATTACGCTTTTGAAACAAGGTGCCTGAATTAAAACGGAACGATATCGTAACAAAAGCTTTGTCAAAAATCGGAACCGACCGCTAAAAATCAGAACCAGACGGGACAAAAAGCGGAAATCCGCTTTAAAGCAGGAAAAAATCATGTCTGATATCATCTGCAGAATGTTAAGACAATTTTCAATTGATTATTAGTGGCTTTATATATCTGTGGTTATTGGTTATATGATGGGCTGCAGCTTCTCTGCCTTCTCTTTATACAATGCACCCATTACAGCACTGTGGCATTCCAAAACTGTTATCAAATAAACAATTAGCCAAATATTAGTTGATTAACAGATTTTATCTCAATCAAGCACCCGAAACAACATTAACCACCTGGCTATCGTGTGTAGCCGTGGCTATTTCAAATTACCAGTGTCAACAAGAGCAAATTTAGTAGCAATAAGTTACCAATTCTAAGAAGAATCTAGTGGCAATAAGTTACTAATTTTAAGAAGAATCAATGAAATTTTAGTCAACCAAATGAAAGATTTGTATAATGTTACATTATCACAGTTCAAACAAACAAAATTTGGATTGGTGAAGCCATTTTACTTGATCAACATGGCTTGTAAACTTTGAGAACAGCCCATATTGGGATTGAAACCATGACAAACTCTTATGTCCCAACCACACACTTCCTGGCTTTTTTTGAAAAAAAATATAAGAAGAGTTCTGATTATCTAAAGAAGTGTTAAAAATAGAAGTTTAGCGTACATGTATATTGAGCAGTTTTAGTAAAATTTATGTGAAATGTATTACAAGCTCTAATACAAAGTGTTTATTTTGTCAGATGTTTTTAAGATTAAGTAAGAAACTAACCTGCTGGACAGTGGGGTAGTTCTGATTTTGGTATATTGGTAACTCGGTGGAAATCATCATGGCACGCATTACAGAAATGGGTCGTTCCAAAACAGAAGAACACTGCCACAGAACAACAATATCTACATTTATATTCAAGG